AGAAAATAAATAAGTGAAGGTAATAAAATTTCAGTGACATTTGTAAATAAAGTGTATTGAAATAATCACCAATAGTATTTATAAACATTTGAAAAATATCAATATATGAGTGGGTGAATGTGTGTGTAAAACATTATTTATTCAATCCAAGCCAGTGCATAATACACATTTGGGTTTTTGAAAACTTGTGATAACTATAAAACCTTTATCCTTTTGCCAGAATCCCCATACACTGGCTCAGAACCTTTCTTAGGATCCATGGGGCACTGTAGGATGCCTACCTAGACAGTACCTGCTAAGAAGAAATTTAGGAATTGGAGGGGTGTTCTTAACCAGTGATGCACAGACCTTGTTTCTCATTGCCTTTTGTTTCTGGAAACTTCTATCATTCTCTTAGGAAGTCATCCAGATACTTGGTCTTGTCTTCGGTTCTCTGCCAGACACTTAGCTGTCACTGCAGCTGCCACAGTGATTTACTTCTTCACAAGATCTTGTTCTATAGATAGATTGTACGGAGAAAACCTTTCCTTTTTTCTTTTCATATACATCATATTTATATATCTTTATATGTTTTTAAAATACAAGTAAAACATTTGGATATAATAAAAGTCCCAGCAACTCCAAGAAATTTCTGATTTAAATACCTACAACTACTTTTTCAAGTTTTTTTTTTTAAACTGGGCAATATTTGAAGAAATAATAGGCACCAAAGGTCATGTGATATGAGAAAAGAGATTTTGTTGATTTAGACTAGATGAAAAAAAGCAGTAAACATCCTATTTTTTGGACTGCCAGAAAATGCAGTATTTTTCTGTTACTATAAAACAGTTATTTAATATACAGAGGTCCTATACAAAACACATATCCATGCTGGACTTGTGGGGAAAAAAAGTAACAATAATCCCTAGAATCCAACAAAGCAAACTGAAGCCGAAGGCCAGAGTGATAAGGTCAAGTTGAGAATGAGAACACCTTCAGCGTGTTTGCCAGTAACTGTAAATTCAAGATTTGGTTTTCAGTGGTGATCGAAAGGGAGGCAAGCTCTGGATTTAGGTTATAGGACAAGATGGAACCACATCCCACCACAGTGCTGGGACCCTAGAAAAGTGATACTCAAAATGAAATCAGGGACTGGAAATAATCTACCTTTGGCAGACAGAGATGCTTAGGACATTGAACTGTCTCAGAGTAATTGCTGGCTAGAGAGAAAGAGTTCTCCTTCGAGTTTGTAACCACAGTCTTTCCCTCAAGTGTGTTTAAAGTTCAGACCTAAAATACTTCCCTGACCAGAAAACCCTAAAGCAAGAAATAAACTTAAAATGGCCTTTGATTGATAGCATCCCAGAATGCCTGGCAGAAGCAAACACAAATGCTGTCTGGAGGGACATACCCTCAACCTAAGGGTCACCGGATTTTAACAGATAAAGACCACCAAACATGAGCCCATAATTCCAAAGAAAGAAGAGCCATGAGCAGGAGACAGGAGAAACCACAAATAGCAGAATTAGATTTCAAAAAAACTTAAGACAATGATTTATCAGATGAGGTAAATTATATAAATGTCTAGCATATTTTTTTAAATAGCCCTAAGCAACATGAGTAAAAAATAAGATTTTATCAAAAATTAAGCATAATTGAAAAGAACCAAATAAAAACTTACAAAAGCTTAAAATATTAATGGAAATTAAAAACTCAAATGATCCAATTAACAGGTTCCTACCTGAAGGTAATTGATAGCTGATTCTAAAGAACTTGCAAGTGGTGCAATACAGAGAGATGGAAATAGCTAAGAGATGTGAAAAATAGTCTGTTATACATCTAATTGGATTTGTAAACTTTCACTTAATAACAAATGAGAAATAAAGTCATTTTCAATCAAATATAAAAGAAGAATTTACCATCATCAGATCCTCTGAAGGTTAGAAAGCATGAAAAGTCAAGTAATCATTAAGAATGTATAAAACTAAACCACACTCATGTGTTAAATAATAATGATTCCATATCAGGCTTTAAAGCCAAGACACAAATAAAAGACTTACACATAACATGTAAGACAGGAGCATTCTGCAGGACTTGTTATTCAGTAGGAGGGAAAACATACAGATAAACTTTAGATTGTGTTCAATGTACATGATAGAACTGTTAAGGATACCACTAAGGGGATAGAAATAGTATTCATACTTCTATGATGATACGAGGGGAAAATCATTAATCCAAAACATGTAAGAAAATATAGGGGGGAAATGAGAAGCAAGATAAAAAGCAATGCCCAAAATAAAATGATGAAGTATATTCACATATGTTTTTAAATATATATATTAAATATATAATTAATAACAAATATTAATAGATAAATATATTAGTATATCATAATGGTTGTTAAACTATAATAAATGATAAATAGCAATGAATATTAAGAAGCAGAACTTGTCTTAAAAAAAAGTGATATAAGAGAAGGTTAAGAAAATCCAGTTGGGATACTTTTTATGGGGATACTCCTCATACCTAAGAATAGACTGTTTAAAAGTACAAATATGAATATACCAGGCAAATGCTTATTTTATTTATTTTTTCTTCCTTCTTTTAAACTAAGGTATAATTGGCATATAACATTATATACATTTAAAGTGCAAGGTATTTATTTGATACATTTATATATTGCAATATGATTACCACCATAGTGTTATCTAAATCTCCATCATGTTATATAATTACCTTTATGACTGTGTGTATGTGCACGTGTATGTTGAGAACGTTTAAGATCTAGTCTCGTAGCACCTGTGAAATAATACTACAGTGTTGTTCACTATAAATCACAATGCTGTGCATTAGCTCTCCAGAGGATACTTGTCTTCTGCCCTTTGATCAACATCTCCCTTATTTCCCCACCCCTGGCAAATTTAAAAAAGCTTTTATAGCTATATGAAGACTAAAATAATTTTAAAATAAAAAAGATTATTACAGATAAAGAAGATCACTTCAAATTCATAAAAAGTCCTATTTTCTAGGAACATAATTATTTTAAACTTATATACACTCATCATGTCCCTCATAAGTCTCAAAATTGGTAAAATACAGTGATAGAATTATAAGAAAGTACTGGATGTTGGAGTGTAAAAGGGCTTATCCACTTTGTAGAGTTTGGCCATTCCTAGAAGAGTTGAAGTTGCAATCCCACTTCTAGATACACATGCCATAGAAATTACACCTACCTGCATTCAAGTATACAGTGTACAAAAAAACCAAAGCAACATTATTTGTAAGAGTGAAAAATTGAAAAACATGAACTACCCATCACTGGATACTATATATAAGCAAATTGGGGTATAGCCGTTGAATGTAATATGATATGGTATTAACAATGAATGAGTAGAAACTACATGTGTTCACAAAATGAAATTGAGGGCTAGAAGCTCAAAAGATAATTTTGAGCAAAAATACGTCAATTTCAAAAGAACTCACAAAGTTTGCATACAGTATGACACTATTTAAATAAGTTTAAAAGGCAATATAATATTATGTCTTACTTAGAGATCCTTCCATACATGGGCAGCAAAAATATAGAGAAAAGCCAGGGAATGATAAGCTCCATTCCCAGCACTAGTGGTCACCTCTGGGGAAGTGTACAGACAAGGTGCTGAGGTACTGCAGTTAGGGAGTGGGGGTGGGGGTGCATTGAAAGTCACACCTGTACTGGGCATGTTTGATTCCTTAAGACCTAGTTGGTAGGCACACACATGTCAGTTTGATTTTGTAGGTCTGGAAATTTTTGTAATACTCTTAAATACTAAGGAAAAATATGCATGGAATTTATCTACATAACAGGAAATTAAATACACACTATCTCAATCTAAAAAAACTATAACATTTTTGAAGATGTATCTGGAAAAAATTTCACTGAAAGTTTACTTTAAACAAATAGTTTATTTTTCCCCAAATCTTTTTATTTATGCACTGTTTAGTAATGGCCAGCTGGGTTTGTTTGTTTGTTTTGAGGAGGTGTTTTAGTGGAACAATTTTTTTTTAACAATTTTAATTTATTTTGCAATGCTTTCCAAGTGAAAAGGATGGTAATGTAAGTACCTAGTATCAAAGGTGGCTAGGGAATGTGGACAGTTTTTCTTCCTGTAGGAATTTTTTCTTTTTCCTTAAGAGTCTGTGACAAACAATTTATGAATATGCTTCATTTAAGAAAGTAGCTTAGATTTTAGAAAAGAACATTCTACATAGGAAAGAAAGATTGGGCAATAGAGATGAAAATACTTAAATCACAGTTGAGCTGTATTGCTTTTTATACATATCCCCAATATCTAATGGAAATGTTGTTCTGAAGTTTTCGTTCTCTGAGATAGTAAGCAGTTTGCACCATCTAGATCAGGGATCCCAAACTCTCTTGGTCCATGATGCCCTTACTGTCAGTAAATTTTTGTGGCCCACCAAGACCAAAAGAAAACCTAGAGTTCAGTTCTTTTAGTAGTTAGATCATGTCAGTCATTCACAACCTAGCTTTGCAAAGGTATGATTTAGTTAAAAGAACTGCAAGGGTGCCTGGTTACGTGCCCAACAGGTTAGGTGTCTGCCTTTGGCTCAGTCAGTATCCCAGGGTTTTGAGATGGAGCCCCAAATCAGGCTCCCTGCTCTGCGGGTAGCCTGCTTTTCCCTCTCCCTCTGCTTTTCCTCCTGCTTATACTCTCCCACTCTCTTGCTCTCTCTCTGTCTCGGTCTCTCTCAAATCAACAAATAAAAATAAAATAAAAAATAAGAGAACTACAGTACATGTTGGAACTATGAACTACCATGAGCAAGTAGTTCAGTTTGTCAGGCGGACACCGAGTGTTGCTGTTTCTCCTGAAAAATTAAAATAAAATAACTCATGGCACTGCTCTGGATTTGCTGCAGCACCCTACAGAAGCTCGGTAAAATATCCCCACGCGTATACCTTAGTGAGGAGGGCTCTAAGTTCACCCAGATTCATGACGATCTCTTTTCGTTGACTGCAGGAGAAGCCATACAAGTGCTCCGAGTGCAGCAAAGCCTTCAGCCAGAAGCGAGGCCTGGATGAGCACAAGAGGACGCATACTGGAGAAAAACCTTTTCAGTGTGATGTGAGTTTGGTTTCTCTTTTCTTTCCCCAGTGCCTTCCAGTAACAGATGTGTGTGTAGCTTGTGTGTCTGGGTCTGTGCAACTATGTGTATATATATGAATGTGTGTGTGTTTTGCAGTGCTGGTCATTCTATTAATGCCTTGTGCTGCTTATATCTTTTGATTGTGTAATCCATGTAACCACTTTGTAATAATTCTGTTCATCCTAGTTTACTGCAGCAAATAAACTGATTTTTTTTAAGGCATGCTTGCAACCTTTTTTAATGTAATTGTGATGTTCTCACAAGGTGTAAGTGCATGATGACTCAAGGCAGCTTTCATGTGTCTACCCAAATCTTTGACAGGTTAATGACAGCTAAACGAGAGATGTAACTGATCAGAGCTATTATTTATTTTGTTATAGCCTAACCATGAATTTCTAAAACATAAACAAACTCCTTTGTTTAAAAAATATTGCTAATTGTTTAGATTTTCTGCTTGTGACATTTGAATTGAAATGAAATTATCAACATAGTTTACACTATTTATGAAAGGAAAAATACAACCACTGTCAGTAAAATCAATCTGAGTGTTAATTAATTAAGGAAAGAATTGGTTTCTCAATGAACAGTGTCACAATTCTGTGTAAGATTGACAGTTGACAGAAGATTGACACAGCTTTAGGGAAAACATTATTTCTAACACAAAAATAGCAAAAAGAGTATTAATGTAGTTCAGCAGAAGAAGAAACATTAAAGTTGTAGTGTGTGAAATTGCATAGTATAGAATTCTCTTTAAAATGTAGAGGGAAACTCAGTACTTAGTCCCATTGGCATATCCCAACGGAAAAGGTATGGGGTAAGCAATCCACATGAAAGGAAACTCACATACACGAGATGTTTTCCTTGTCCTTCCATGAAACTTTGGTGGTAAGGTTAAGGCAACAATGTACTCCCAGTGAGCCTACTCATAAAAATACCTATATGAACAGTGAACTTCTTTAAGGCAAGAAGTACTTGTGGAGAAAGAAATGTACACATGTAGAGCTCTATCCTGAACTGGAGGTACAGCCCCAGCTTAATAATTTGTTGGTTTAATTCATTGGTGCTTTTATTGGAAACATTTTTTTATTATAGACAGAACCTGTTTAGATCACTTAATTGTACAGCTACACAAATAACTGACGGGAGATAGAAAATAATATGAACTGTGTATGGACACCTTCCTACCATCACATTCAACTCAACTTTCATTTATGCTAAATATTTTTGTTGACTGCTTCCTAAGCTAAAGTGGACCATAATGTTATTTTTAAAAAAACAAAAACTAAAACAAAAAAAATCCTGAAAAAACCTCTAATGTTACAGGCATGATTTTTTCCTTTTTTTTTTTAATATTTTATTTATTTATTCATGAGAGACAGAGAGAGAAAGAGAAAGAGAGAGAGAGAGAGAAAGGTAGAGACACAGCAGAGAGAGAAGCAGGCTCCATGCAGGGAGCCTGATGTGGGACTGGATCCTGAGACCCCAGGATCACACCCTGGTCTGATGGCCGTGCTTAAACCACTGAGGCATCCAGGCTGCCCAGTTTTTTTCTATTTACTTCTATCTCATTTATTTCTATCACATTTTCAGAACTCTCTGATCCTTATCTATGGCTCAAACTGGTCCATTGAGTAGAGCTTTAAATTTAATGCCTTCAAAACCTCCCTGAAATGCAACCTGCTCTGTAGAGAACTGGCCGTCTTTGTTCCAAAATTTAAGCTCTTAATCTACTCATTCTGGATAGAAGTCATCCTTTCTCACCCACTCCCAGTATTTCTCCTTCCTAAATAGCATTAAACTCCATTACTTCCTCTCAGTTTCTACTCCCACTAGCAGTGCGTAGCCTGCACCCTCCCTGTGTTTTATTACAGTCCATCTCCAATATGTGTGTTCTTCGTACTCCCAAGGTAATGATTTTTTTTTTTTGAGATGAAATTCACATAACATAAAATCAATCAATGTAAAGTGAACAATGCAGGGGCGCCTGGGTGGCTCAGTCAGTTAAGGGTCTGCCTTCGGCTCAGGTCATGATGCCAGGGTCCTGGGATTGAGTCCTGCATTGGGCTCCTGCATAGAGAGTAGTCTGCTTCTCCCTCTGCCCCTCCGCATGGTTGTGCTCACATGCCTGTGCATTCTCTCTATCTCTCTCTCTCTCTCAAATAAATAAATAAAATCTTAAAAAAATAAAGTGAACAGTTCATTGGCATGGAGTACATTAACAATGTGCAACCATATCCTTTATCTCATGTCCAGACATTAATATTCCCAAATAAAATCCCATACCAATTAAGGAATCATTCCCTACTCTACACAGATCCTGACAATACTAATCTTTCATTTCTACAGATTTACCTATTCTGGATATTTCATGTAAATGAATCATACAATATGTGACCTTTGTGACTAGGTCCTTAGCATAATGGTTTTAAGGTTTATCTACACTGTAGCATGTGTCAATACATCATTCCTCTTTGGCTAAATGATATTCTGTTGTATGGATATACCACAATTTGTTTATTCATTATTGATGAACATTTGGGTTGTTTCTCCCTTTTGGCTATTGTGAATTGCTTTGAGACTAACAGGTGTATACAACTATTTAAGTAACTATTTTACATTCTTTGTGGTATATCCCAAGGAGTAGAATTGCTTGTGTCATATGGTGATGACTTTTCAAGGAATTGCTTTACTATTTTTCATAATAGCTGCACCATTTTATATTCCAGCCAGGAGTGCCTGCAACTGCCAGTTTTTTCACATCTTTGTCAATACTTGTAATTTTCTGCTTTTTAAAATTATAGTCACCTTAGGGCGAGTGAAATGATATCTCCTTGTAGTTTTGATTTAAAGTTCCCAAAGGATTAATAATATTGAGCATCTTTCTATGTACTTGCTTGTTGGTATTTGTATCTTCTCTGGAGAAATGTCTGTTCAACACCTCTTCCCATTTTAAAATTTCATTGTTTGTCTTTTGTTTTGTTGTTGTTATATTTGTCTTTTGTTTCATTGCTATTGTAAATGATTGAATGTTAAGAGTACTTTGTTAATTCTAGATACTAGACTCTTACCAGATATATGATATACAAATATCTTCTTACATTCCATAAGTTGTCTTTTCCCTTTTTAAATAATATCCTCTGATGCACAAACCTTTTCAATGTTAAGGGCACCTGGCTGGCTTAGTCAGTAGAACATGAAACTCTTGGTCTGGGGGTTGTGAGTTTGAGCACCTATGTTGGATGCAGAGATTATTTTTAAAAAATAACATCTTAAAAAAAGACTTTTCAATGTTGACATCCAATTTATCTGGTTTTTTTTTTCTTTTTCTCAGCATACTTTTGGTGTCAGATCTAAGAATTGCCAATTTTAAGGTCATGAAGATTTACTCTCATGGTTTTTTTCTAAGTTTGATAGTTTTAACTCTTACATTTAGGTCTTTGACCTACTTTAAGTTAATTTTTGTATAGTATGAAGTTGAGGTCCATTCTTTGCATTACTTTTCTATCTTTCACCATTCGATGTGATGTTATGTGTGAGTTTTTCATAAATACCCTTTATTATGTTAAGGAAGTTCCCTTCTATCCTAGTTTTCTGAGTATTTTTATCAAAACAGGGTATTGAATTTTGTCAAAGGTTTTGCTTCATCAACTGCGATGATCTTTTTTTTTTATCTTTTGTTTTATTATTCCAGTATATTACATTGTTTGATTTTATAATGTGAAATTACCATCGCAGTCTGGATAAATATCATTTGGTCATGACTTATAATCCTTTTAATATCCTTTAGAACAAAAGTTTTTGTTTTTGTTTGTTTGAAGATTTTTGCATCTGTATTCAAAAGGAATATTGACCTATAGTTTTCTTATAATATTTTTGTCTGGCTTTGGTATTAATGTAATGGTGCCTTCACAGAATAAGTTAGGAAGTGTTTCCTCTTCTATTTTTTGGGAAAATTTGAGGGGATTAGTGTTAATTCATCTTTAAATGGTGGAATTTATCAGTGAAACTCTCTGGTTTCAGGCTTTTCTTTGTTGGGAAGTTTTTTCCTTGACATAATCTCTTTAGTTGTTACTGTCTCTGGATTTTTCTATTTCTTCTTGAATCAGTTTTGGTTGTGTGCCTCTAAGAACATGTCTGTTTCATCTAAGTTATCTGATTTGTTGGCTGCCATCAATATGCTATGAAGGCACAAACAGGAGGTGTGTCCTTCCAGTGTCAGCTCTATTCAATCATAAAGCCAAGTTATTTTTTTAATAAATTTATTTTTTATTGGTGTTCAATTTGTCAACATACAGAATAACACCCAGTGCTCATCCCATCAAGTGCCCACCACCCCTAGTTCGTTTCCCAGAGTTAGGAGTCTCTCATGTTCTGTCTCCCTTTCTGATATTTCCCACTCATTTTTTCTCCTTTCTCTTTATTCCCTTTCACTATTTTTTATATTCCCCAAATGAATGAGAACATACACTGTTTGTCCTTCTCCGATTGACTTATTTCACTCAGCATAATACCCTCCAGTTCTATCCACGTCAAAGCAAATGGTGTGTATTTGTCATTTCTAATGGCTGAGTAATATTCCATTGTATACATAAACCACATCTTCTTTATCCATTCATCTTTCGATGGACATGGAGGCTCCTTCCACAGTTTGGCTATTGTGGACATTGCTGCTATAAACATCAGGGTGCAGGTGTCCCAGCATTCATTGCATCTGTTATCTTTGGGGTAAATCCCCAGCAGTGCAATTGCTGGGTCGTAGGGCAGATCTATTTTTAACTCTTTGAGGAACCTCCACACAGTTTTTCAGAGTGGCTGCACCAGTTCACATTCCCACCAACAGTGTAAGAGGGTGGGAATCCTCTCCAACATTTTTGGTTTCCTGCCTTGTTAATTTTCCCCATTCTCACTGGTGTGAGGTGGTATCTCTTTTTGGTTTTGATTTGTATTTGCCTGATGGCAAGTGATGTGGAGCATTTTC